TTTTTTTTTTTTTTTTTAGAAAAAGACAAAGGATTTAAATGACTAGACTTCCCCGAAGATACACAGGTGGCCGGTGGCCAATAAGCACATGAAAAGATGAGGTGTTCAACACCGCTTGTTATTAGGGAAATGCAAGCCCAGCCCACAGGGAAACCCGGCTTAGCCCCTGCTAGGATGGTTAGAATAAAAAAGCCAGGAACAATGTGTTGGTGAGGATGTGGAGGGGTTGGGGTGCTCCCGCGCTGCCAGGGGCATTCTAAAACCCTGCAGCCACTCGGAAAAACAGCTTGGCCGGCTTTAAAATGCTAAGCATAGTATTAACATGTGGCCCAGCACATCCACTGCTACGTGTACATCCAAGAGAACTAAAATTGAAAAGGCAGGCGCTTCAGTTGGAAGGGCAGTCGTTCTCAATCTTTTTTGTTATTGTTTTTGAGACAGGGTCTCTGTGTAGTTCAGGCTGGCCTCGAACTCACAGTGATCTGCTTCAGCCTCCTAAGTGCTGAGAGTACAGGTGCTGCCTCCGCACCTGCTGGAAGGATAACAATTTTCAGTGATAGAGTAAAGGAATTCTACACTTACTATAAAAAATACAAAGTCCCAGTTAATATTAGAAGTCAAGGAGCAGCAGTGTAATCTCTAGGTTAATTACTAAAACAATATTAAACAAGTGTACAGCTTTCAAACCAATAGAGGGAAAGAAAGGATTCTATACAATAATAAATCAATACAAAAGGGAAGAAAGGAAAGAAAAAAAACAGGCAATACAGAAGCGCTTACTAAAATGTTAGCTATAAATCCAAATATATGTCAGTAATTATATTAAATGTAAATGAATTAAATGTGCCTGTTTAGGAAAGCACAGATTGTATCTTCTCAGGAAGGCTGTAGGGGAGCAGCGGGTGGGAGGGAGGGGCAGCACAGCGGTGGTCCTAGGCAGAGTGCTGTCTCCCTGGTGGGTGTGGTCATCTTGGTCCTGGGGTGGTTACAGAAATCATGGAAATGCCAGGTAGCCTGTGACATCTAGCTCTTCAAAGGACAAGGGCTTCTTGCACTGTTGGTGGCCCGCTGCTTTCGCAGGCAGGAGGTATAGGCGCCCCTAGCGGCCTCATGTGGCGTTGGGACTTCCAGTCTTTTTTTTTTTTTAAATGTATTTGGTACAGGGTCTCACTACGCAGCTTGAATTTGTAGTGATCTTCCTCTTATCAGCCTCCCCAGTGCTGGGATTGCAGGCGTGCACCACCATGCCCAGTCTTGGTGTGCCTGAGGCGGGGCCAGCAGGCTATGTGGTACTGGGGATCGAACCTGGGTCCTTGCGTTTGCCTAAGGAGGCACTTAGACCACTGAGCTACCTCTGTGGCCCTGGGGCCTGCCAGTCTTGATGGGAAGAGGGAGAGCTGGGTGATGGTCCTGGCGGAGACTCCCATGTAGAGGAATGGCTAGAACCCTCATGGTGGCGGAAGGCATTGTCAGGAAGTCTGATCATTCCTCCTGCTCAGAGCTGCTTTCAGAGGCAATGGTTGTTGAGGTAGCCTCTCTTTTGCTGTTTGTCTTAAAATGTGCTTTGATTTGGAAATCCACAGCTTCTGTGTGGCGAGAACTTTGTACCCTCCTGTGCCAGGAAGGACAATTCCTGTGTATTCTTGTGAATTCTATGACTGTGAATTCTACGAGACCTTTCTTGTTTTTCTAAGTTGTTTGTTTTTCTTTCCAGGTCTTGGATTTTGATTATTTTCTTTGTGTGTGTGGGGAGAAGGATTTTGCTACTTTACTTCCTGTTAGTTGTCTTGCCAAATTATCCTGTTTGAGGACACCATGTTTGCTGAAAGCCCTCATGAAGGCCCTCATGAAGGCCCTACAGGCTTTTGAGTTCATTATTATTATTATTATTATTATTGGTGGAACCGGGGATTGAACTCAGATCCTTGCGTTTGCCAGTCAAGCACTTATCCTACTGAGCCATCTCCCCGGCCCCTTGAGTTCATTATTGTTTAGATCTAGAATATCCTCTAAAAGGCTCCTGTATTCAGAGATGGGGCTTTTGGAAGGTAGTTGGATCATGGGGGTACTATAATAATCATGAGTGGCTTGATCCATTGATGAGTCCGTGGCGCAATGTGCTGTAGGAGGCGGGGTCTGGTGGGAAGAGATGGGTCGCGACGGGAAGTGACCGGAGGGTTTATCTCCCTCCCTGATTCCTCCCTTCTCTCTCTCTTCCTGGCCACCCTGATGGAAGCAGCTCTTCTCCACCCTTCCACCACGCCCTTCCGGTCTTCGTTCCAACCGACTCAGAACTGAATCCTCTAAAAACCATGAGCCCATGGGCCGGGGAGATGGCTCAGTGGAATAAGTGCTTCACTGGAAAGCGCAAGGGCCTGAGTTCAACCCCCGGTTCCACCACACATACACACACACACACACAAAAAAAAAAAAAAACATGAGCTCAAATGAACCTCTCCTCGTTTAAGTGAGCATTCCGTATTTTGTCCCAGCAATGGGACAGTGGGTAAGATGATGGTGACAAACCTGCCACATTCATGTTGCAGCGGGCACACCTTTCTGCCTCAGTGTCTGCCTTGGAGCCAATTGACCACAGATTAAAGCCACTTGGAACATGAGCCCAGATCAGTCTTTTCTTATTTGAGTTATGTGCCAGGTATTTTGTCTCAGCAATAGGAATCGGGCCAACGTAAGACATAGTTCACAGTGTAACGCAGTGTCACTGGGACAGAGGAGAAGTGCATGGCTTTCTCAAGTTTCCTTGCCAGCTGGAAGGGGATTCAGTTCAGCCAGCTGCGGTCTGCCCTCCCCTTGGCTCCCTTTCTCCCTCTTGCATCGCAGTGGACTGGGATAGTTTGCTCCTGGCTGTCAACCCGCCACGCTCCAACCTGAATGCGGCCTAGCAGTGTGGAGCTCCTCCCGCTCAGTGCGCTTCAGACACTGCAGCTGCATTTTGGAGAGCAGAGTGGGCACTCTGGAGTATTAGGAAGGAAGGAATCTGGGCCTCCTTGTTGCTCATCCAACATTCACAGCAAGCCTTCCAAAAGATTCCCTGTTTTGAGTCCAAACCCTCCCTGAAACAGGCCTGCGAGCTGCACTTCCTGGTTCTTGGCTGGGTCTGATTCTGATTCTAGGAGGGCTCCCTCTTGTGTACTGCAGCACGCGCCCTATAAAAACAAAAACTTGCTTTGGTAAACTCACCTGTGACCATTTAGCATGGGCTCCAAAAGTCCTGTGAATCTACGTTGGATTTTTATCCTAAGCAGAAGTGGACAGAGCGAATAAACACTCAGAGCTATTAGCATCCAAGAGTTCCAGAGACCAGCAGCCAATAAGACCGGTGACAGAGACGCAGCACCCAGTACAGTTGTCCTGCGGCGTCTACCACGAGCCGGCATCAGATGGTGACTCAATGTCGGCAGTGACCAGCAGCTGCCTGCATCAGCTGCTGGCATCCAGTGTTACCTGGCATCATGTGGTGACATCAGGACTGCTGGCAGAGCACCACTTTGCTCAGTCACCTTT